AAAGGGTGGTGCATATATTAACTATTATATGGTTAGTTAACGTATCCATTTCGGTTTCTAATTGAAAAAGAATCATGCAGCCATCAACAAGTTTAAGCTTACAGCTTATGCTCTATTTGCTTTCATTAGTACCATGGAGGAACCAACTTTGGACGGACTGCTGGTGGACCGTTTATTACAACCAGTTATGACTACGATGCTCCAATTGATGAATATGGTGAGAAACCGAGATCATTTCCTTGCTATGTTCACAAGGACCCTTTGTACACATAGAAACAAACTTAGAACTCTGAGTTGTCACTTACAAGTTCGTGTTTTTCAGGATTAATCCGGCAGCCTAAATATGATCATCTAAAGGAGCTTCATCGTGCTATTAAGCTATGTGAACATGCTTTAGTTTCCTCAGACCCTACTGTTACTTCATTGGGAACCTATCATCAAGTAATCATTCTTTTTTAGTCATAATTCTTGCTCTCCATTGGTAATATGATAATTTGGTATTAAATATAACTTTACACTCATGATGCTAATAATGTTTTATCTTTCAGGCCCATGTATTTTCTTCTAACGGAAGCTGTGCCGTTTTTCTCTCAAATTACAATACGAAATCTGTTGCTAGGGTGATTTTTAATAACCGGCACTACAATTTGCCCCCTTGGTCTATTAGCATCCTCCCTGATTGCAGAAACGTGGTGTTTAATACTGCAAAAGTGAGTGAATCCTAAGGCCCTATCTTAATGTACTTAAGGCTATTATATCTGTCCTATGAAAGTACTTGTACCTTTTTTGTGCATCAAGGTTCGGGTTAAAACTTCACATACCCACATGTTGGCGACGAGCTCAAAGATGTTCTCGTGGGAGACTTATGATGAATCCATTTCTTCTCTGGGGGAAAGTTCTAGACTCATAGCTAACGAACTCCTGGAGCAGATGAATGTTACCAGAGATACTAGTGACTACCTGTGGTACGCAACAAGGTGCGAAACTGCATTTTATACACGACTATTTTCATAATTGTTGAAATAGCATCTTGAAACTCATCTAGAAATCCCACATACACATTCATTCCAGTGTTGACATCAGTCCATCGGAATCATTTCTACGAGGAGGACAAAAGCCAACTCTCAATGTAGATTCAGCTGGCCATGCCCTTCATGTTTACATCAATGGACAGTTTTCAGGTATATTATTAGTTTACTCCACTAAGTAAAAATATAAAACATAATTTAAGTTTGCCTAACATGTTGATACAGCAGAATTTCGATATATGTGTTCTAAGCATGGTTTTCAGAACCGGACCGGTTAGCGAACCGGTCATGCTACAGGTTCACTGGTTCAACCAGTCGAACCGGTCCGACCGGTCGGAAGAACCGGACGACGTCATAATTATTTAAAAAATTAAATAAAAATACCAAAAATATTTAATAAAAAATAATTTTTTATATCACAAGTCATATTCAAAGCAAATCATAACATATATAAGTTAAAAATCATAAAATCAAGTGAAACAAAATGATTCAAATTAACTACAACATAATATTTAAGGTAAAACATATTAAATAATAAATATAATTATATAACTATAATTAAAAAATAAATTTTGGGTTAACAAAATCATAACAAAATGATATTGTTTGGTTTAATTTTTTTTTAAAAAACAATCCCACATGACTAAGAAACATAGAAGAGCATCCCAAAAGTCTAAAGAGAAAATATGAGAACAAAACAATCTCACATTGCTAAGAAACATAGAAGCGCATCACAACTAACTTCTATAAATAATAGAGGTAATTTATCATTCAAAATCATAGAGCCTTTTGGTGAGCATTGAGTGAACTATTCTTTCACTTCAATCAAGCTCGAATTTTAAGCTTCAATCGAGCTTCTAAATTTTTTTTTAGTTCAAGCCTTTTTGAGTTCAAGTTTCAATATTATATTTCGAGTTTGAGTTGAACTTGATAATTTTTAGCTTGTGAGTTTGAGTTGAGTTGAGCTTACTTTTAAAATTTTTAAGTTCGAGTCAAGCTCAGCAATACTCGAGTTCGACTTGGCTCGTTTAACAAACGACGTTGTTTGGTTTAATTTTTTTTTTAAAAACAAAAATCCAGGTTTTCCCCGGTTTTTTCCGGTTTTCAGCCGGTCCGGTTTGAACGGTTCAGCGGTTCTGGCCGGTTCACTAATAGCGGTTCAACCGGTTTAGATTGAACCGGACTAAGCAACGGTTCCCGGTTGAACCGGCCGGTCCGGTCCGGTTTTCAAAACAGAGGTTCTAAGTCTTATGATAATATCACAGGGTCAGCATATGGGACTAGGAAAGACAGGGGGTTCACATTTACAGGGCCAGTGAACCTACATGCTGGAACAAATCATATTTCACTTGTCAGCATATCAGTTGGATTACCGGTTTGTTCTTATTTACCATGTTTTATTGAATCTAAATGTTAGGTAGCAAATATACGATTTCAGAACGTGCCATTCCTTCACCACATGGATCCATTTTGATTGGAAAGTTTTCAACTAATACAAATTTATGGTGGTGGTGTAGAACGTCGGACTGCATTACGAGACATGGAAAACGGGAATCGTGGGTGTTTTCTTGAATGGCCTTGACCAAGGAAAGAAAGATTTGACGTGGCAGAAATGGTCGTACCAGGTTCAATAGCCTTTAATATGCAAAATCTACAATTTTAGATGTTTTGATGATGCTATATAAAGCCAGAAGTTAGTTAGGCTCACAAAAGTACTTACAAGCAGGTTGGCTTGAAAGGAGAAGCAATGAATTTGGTCTCTCCAGATGGGGTCTCATCTGTTGAATGGATCCGAGGTTTAATAGCTGCACGGAGGCAGTCCATGACATGGTACAAGGTAGATAAGCAGAAGGGTGTTTTCATTTTTATCTTTTTTGATATTTCGATGGTTTCTGAAGTTAACTATCGGCTTGGATATTGTAGGCATATTTTGATGCCCCGGTGGGCAACGATCCATTGGCTTTGGATATGCGGAGTATGGGAAAGGGTCAAGTATGGATCAATGGACAGAGCTTAGGAAGATATTGGATGGCGTATGGGAATGGTGAGTGTGGAACTTGTAGTTACTCGGGGACATTCCGACCGACAAAGTGCCAGAGTGGTTGTGGCCATCCAACACAAAGATGGTAATCACTCTCAAACTCCGATGGACTTGAATTTTGCAGTTAGCATAAAATGAGTGTATATTTCACTTGTTGAGCTCTTATGTTTCGAAACATGATCAGGTACCACGTTCCAAGATCATGGCTAAAACCAAGGAAAAACTTGTTGGTACTGTTCGAAGAACTGGGCGGAGACGCAACAAAGATTTCTCTTGTGAGGAGAAGGGTTTCATATAAGTCGCGTGGACACCATCACAAGACAGAAGGAAATTGAAGGAAGAATAAATAAGAAATTGCAGTTCCGTAAATGTAGATGAGATTTGGGTAATGTTTAAATGTAGCAGAAATGTAAGGGTTTTAGAAAAAGGCAGTCATCATCAGTCAGGTTTGGCATGGGTGTTGAGAGTCGAGGCAGTTGATATCTGAGTTTGAAAATCATATTTTTGCGTTTGTTTGGAATGCAATGTTATGCAACAGTGATTTGAAGAAATGAATCATTCTTTGCTACTGGTGAAACACTTCTAGATTTCATTTTAATATATCCTGCAATTAGAACTCGGATCTTCTATAGAAGATAATGTTTCTTTTCATTATTGAATTCACTCGAAGATAAATTTAATTAGAATATAAGAATAAGATTGTTCCAAATTATATCTATTTTTTTAAAAAAAATATTCTAACATTTTAAGTCTAAAATAAGATAAATAAAAAATAATTCAAATCTAAAATAATATAAATTCTAAAATGATACCATCCAAAAAAAATGTAACTTGTAAATCAAAATGATTTAAATATTCAAACGATTCAATCACAAAAATAACTTAAACCATAAATAAATAAAATTAAAATCCAAATTGATTCAACTTAGTATGACCACCCTAGGTATATAACATCCAGTTAGACAGTGACCCTAAACCTTTTTTATATATAAATCTATAGAACTAATATAAGATACGAATATATTCAAAGACTCAATCATATAATAATAAATTTTTATATTTTTGTATATACGATGTTCGAATTTGAAACTTCAAAAGATAATAACAATCTCTTAATCATAAAAAGCGTTTGGTTCGTATAAAAAAGAGAGTTAAAATGATAATTTAAAAGGTTAACTATTGGATTGCTCGTTTTTCTTTCATATTTATATATTTTTCTCATCAAATTTAAAAATGTTAAGTTTTGATTATTTATATTATCGATTTATTAAATTTTGATAACTTATATTATCGGTTGTTATATTTTGGGTGCTGAATCATTAACTCTTTTAGTTTGATGATGCGACATGTTAGTTAAAATGAATGAATTTTTAATTTAACTCTTGAATTTTAGATGGAATACTAATTTGATCTTAAATTTTATAAGATATATTATTTTGACTCTTAAACTTTAGATAAAATATTAATTTGATCACTGAATTCGATCAAAGTCTCCCTTCATCGACCATCACTCACAATTATCTCTGCCAATCGATATCGGCCATTGTTAATGTCGATTGTTGGGACCGTCACTCACTACAGTCGAAAGATCATTATTACTTTACGTTATATCAATTTAATATAAAAATTTATAATAACATAGATTTCGTATTAAGTAAACAATTAATAGAGTAAATGATTAAAAGTTTTCGGTTGAAATATTTTTTTTAGTTATAAAAAAAACATAAACTTCGTATCAACTCAATATGATATAGAGTTAAAATAATAATTTAAATCCCTTGTTTAGATTGCGTTAAAATAGTGACACGATGCGGGTCGAACCAAAATCAGATACGACGCAAGCACTAGCGCCAGTGCGCCACTCAATAGTCCCACGTAGGAGTTCTTTCTATTAGTATTTGTTTGTTTGTTCAGTTCGGCAAAATATCGAACAGTTTCTGGTCTTACGTCAATGTCTCTCCTTCAATTCATCCCTCCTTCTTCCCTCACTCACCGACCTTCGATAAACCCCAACGCCGACAGTCCCTCTCTTTTGAACCTCAACTCGAACCCCTTTTACAAACCATATTTATTCCTCAATCGCGCCGACTCCAAAAGCTCAGTTCTCTCCGGTGCTCGGCATCCTCTTTCCCAGAGAAACACCGCGCCGATCCTGCTAAATCAGACGACGTCGTTGAGCTTCCGCTATTCCCTCTCCCCTTAGTTCTCTTCCCCGGCTCCGTTCTCCCTCTCCAGATCTTCGAATTCCGTTACCGCATTATGATGCACACGCTCCTCCACACCGATCTCCGCTTCGGCTTGATCTTTTCTGACCATGAATCCGGAACTTCCAGCGTCGGTTGCGTCGGCGAGATCATCAAACACGAACGTCTGGTTGACGACCGCTTCTTCCTCATATGCAAAGGCAAGGAACGGTTCCGCGTCACCAGCGTCGTCCGTACGAAACCATACCTTGTCGCGGAAGTGAACTGGCTCGAAGACCGACCCTCCGGTGACGAAGATTTGGAAGGATTAGCGAATGAAGTGGAGAGTTGTATGAAAGACGTGATTCGATTATCGAACCGGCTTAATGAGAAACCAGGAAAAGAAGCGCATGATTTGAGGAGGAACCTTTTCCCGACACCGTTTTCTTTTTTCGTAGGGAGTACGTTCGAAGGGGCGCCGAGAGAGCAGCAGGCATTACTGGAGTTGGAAGATACGGCTGCCAGATTAAAAAGAGAAAAGGAAACTTTAAGGAACACTCTTAACTACTTGTCCGCTGCATCAGCTGTGAAGGACGTGTTTCCCTCTTCATGACGACGGATTTAAGTAATTTTAGGCAAATTTTGTTGACAATTTCGTAAATTTGTGCAGATGTTTTCATGGGTAATTTCATTTGTTATGCATGGAGCTGTAAAATATCGATATAACTCTGCTTGTTATTTATTAGTAGGCATTAGAATATTTAATGAATTATTGATGTTAAGATGGTTAATTTGCATATAAGCTAGCTTTTGGAGATGCTTTATTCTTAATGTTACCGCGAAAATTGATGTGGGTACTAGCTAGTTCTTCGAGTAGAATTTTGGCAAAGTGCTTTTTCCTATATTATCAATATTTGAATGATATTGATGTTAATATTACTTGTCTTTTGGATATGTTTTAGTCTTGATGTTACTGCAAATTTTATTCTATTGCTAAGCTTGGATTGATGCTTGATGTAATTTGGTGTCATTGACTTGTGTACTTGCTAGTTTTCTGAGTAGAATTTTGGCAAGGGCTTTGCTATTCAATCATTTCTCTCGTTTCACCAATTCAAATGTACATTTTCCCCCAAATTTTCCTTCAAGTTATCTGTTATCATTGAGGGAAAATGGAAACTAGCTCAGTTTCCTAGTTGATGGTTTTGTTCTTCACAGACTGGTTAGTGTGTTCTAACTGATCCATTGCAGCATTACCATGATAAGAAGTCATTTTTCATCAATGGACAAAGGAGAATTCCAGATTCTTCATCTTCGACTCCAAGTACTATCCCAGAAGCATTTCTGAGGTGATTGTCTTTGACTCCTCTTTTTTATTTTCCCCTTGTAACAGTAACATTAGAACTGATATTTTTGGTTGTTTTTGAATCTAGATGTGGGTGATCTTACAAACAAGGCATTATTCTTATTATCAGCTAGGATCTTATTATAAAGAAGTGAAATTTTTGGTTGTTTTTGAAAAGCTGGACGCTTTTCATCATAATTATTATCCTTTGGTGGTAGTTATAATATTGCTTTTAAATAGAACTTCCCACTGCTGATATTAATAATGGTTTCTTTCCCGTCCATGTTGCCAAAGAACAAGTCTGCAAGATGTTCTAATGAGAGACCTATGATGAAGACATGTTTTTCTTTCTCTATGTCTAGGGAAAGTTAAAGAATCACAACTCTTAAAAGCAGACGAACATTACCAGAGATATGTGACTCCCGTGTACACGACCAGCTGAGTCACACTACATTTTGATACACTTCCTTTTACCTAATCTCTGAAATGCGGCTTGACATTCATCGAGGAATGTCATGACTTGCAGCACAGAAAGTCTGGAATTTGCACAAATCAAATGGTCAGGAAGGAGCAAAAATATGTTGAAAAATGAAAAGCTTGAACTATGTTTCTAACTTAGCAAATCTTTATGCATTTAATCTTATGTGTTGGATGGTGAAAGACATTGCTGTGACTAGGATTTTATGGCTTTGCTTGCATATGAGGAACCTGAGAAATCTCCAATGTTTCACCTTCTTAGCTCAGAGTGCCAGCTGCATGTTGCAGAGAACTTAAATCGAGCAATACTTGGTTGGTTCAGTTATTATTGCCTTTTTCTTATCGTCTTCTCTTTATTGTCGCTCTATCTGATCGTTCTTTTGTTTACATGCACCTTTGCAATTGTTTAATCTATATGTTCCCATACTGGACCATGAATAATGTCAACTCATGCAAACCATTCAAGCTGACAGCAATGGAAAGACTGATACTGCAAATGACAGTAGTTAGACAATGCTTAAACCAAGACCATGCATGTTCCAATTAACTATTATATTGCTGGAAAATACCTACGAAAATAAGGTACAGAGTATTCCTGAACTAATTTAATCAGATAAATAACCGACTAATATGAAGCTACAAAAGATTTCCCATAGGGATTCCAGTATCTGTTATGAAACCAGAAAGAATCAGCTTCGATAGCATATCCATCTTGATTACGATGCCAACCGAAATAAGCATGTGTCCGGTTTTTTATATCGAAAATACCATGACCAAAACTTGTATCCCTATAGGCTGAGAAGCTTGGCTGTGGTTCCACCATTCTGTTTAAACCAAGGAGTGACAATTATAAGTTAAAAGTATTATGATATATAATCAATAACATTGAAAATATAGATGAAGGGTATATCATGTTAAAGAAGAAGAATCAATTGATGTCTTAAGCCAGTTCTCCCACCAACAGATAATCAAGAAAATACACTGGTAAGCATTACCCTAGAGCTGGTCCATCGTGATTTCCACCATCACCAATTGTTATGTAAACTGGTGCTGACTGGTCATTAACAGGAGTACACTGCCCATTCAAAATATTGTATGCAATATTGGATACACTTTTCTGCAACATTGGGATTTATATGTTAATATCTCTAAATGGAAACATTAAGGTACAAATTTGGCAGGCGATTTAGGCCTAAATATTTGGTAATAAACAAAATTGAAGTAGATTGTACTTACGGATCGCTCGTAGGCATGAACATGACCAGAAAATACGACATCTACTTTGTACCTGACAAACCATGACTCAAACACCACTCTCATGGTTTCTCCTTCCATGAAATGATGTGAATTACTATTATAGAGTGGGCAATGCATTAGAACAATCAGCCATGGAGTCTCACTTCTATCCACCTTTGGTAGCTCGTTCCTTAGCCATTTGTATTGAGGAGTAGATTTTCCTGTCAAAATTAAAAGTTGGAAACCAGTAGGATAAACACAAGATGAAACTCTCTATATGCATTAGAACAAGTCCCTGGTGAAGATTAACCCTTACCATATGCAGAATAAGAAGACAGAACAATGATATAAGCTGAAGCTCTCTTGATCGAATACCATAACGGAGAAGTACTTCGTGACGATTTGAACGGTACATAATACCGGTGCGTATAAGGCTTAAAGGGTGTAGTTTCTTCCTGAATTATAACCCACAGTTATTAGATCATTAGGATTTATGGCCTTCTATGTCAACATGGTAGTTTTTATGTGTTGAATCACATACAAGTTCAGGAGCAAAATCGATCTCATGGTTCCCTGCAGTCCAAATCCAAGGCTGGTAAGCAGCATTCCGCTCTATAAATCTTCCCCACGTATCCCACCTTGAATTATCATGGAACGGATAGTCATTCGAGTACGAGAGATCCCCCACATACAACACTGTTCTTCCCTTCTTTGGATTTGATTCATAATGTGCGAGTGTAACATTTGAATCATGTGTTTGACCAAGATCCCCTGTTCGTCAAACCATGCACATGTATAAACGTAACGAGACATAAGCATTCTAACTGAAAATTAGGAATAAGACAAAAACCAACATTTACATTGAGTTTGTCTTTTTGAAGTGATAAATAAATCAGACAAGTCAGAGGGCACAAACAAATAGTCGAATACCTATCAGACCAAAAGTATAAGGAACATCAGGGCCAGCTTTTGGAGGAGTCACAAACCAGAATTGTCTTGACGAATCCCCTAATCCAATATCATATGTGTATTTGGTGTCATACTGTAATTGGAAGAAAAAAACCAAGAATTTTCTACTCAAATTTGTCAGTTTTGGCCTATTGTGAAACTAAACAAAAAAAGAGGGAAGAAATAGTCAAACACCTCCAACTTGTCGATGGTGCAGTGATGAATGTAACCTGAGGAGTAATTGAAGAAGTTATATCTCACAAATATTCCCTCGGCGTGATTCTTATGACTGCTATTTTCAGACCAGTAAAGAACTGTGTTGGACCCAGGTTCATCAGCAGTTATCCAGGAGATTATCACTCCCCTCCCATCAATATCCCCTTGTGTTATATGAACCTATAAGAAAACCAAACATCTAATGTTTGAGAAAGAAAAAAACAACCCCTAAACATCTATACGTATGCAGAGATATATGAACATTAATTATCAAATAATTTAGAGTCTTCCTTATAATCAATCCAGACTAATAGGGAAAAAAAAACTAAAAGAAAGATGATGGGATTTGGAAGAAGAAGTGAAACATGCCTGTTGAGGTGCATTATAACCAGGAGGAACTTGGAAAACATCACTGTCAAGTGGCATATCAGGAGAATACTTTTTTCTAACAAAGTTACCAGTTATTCCTCCAGTGCAGAACCCACATGAACTCAATATCAAACACAGAAAACAAATGGCGAAAGAGTTCAATACTCTAAGCAGCGCCATCGGACTTGAAAGTTGAAACCCTTCAAGTTTTCAGCCTATCTAATGGAGCAGATCACTATGGTTTTGTTCCTTCCACGTAATTCTTATGTGTAGATATTTCTGGGTTTGGATCAGAAAGAATAAGTTGGTAAGAATGGCAAGTGTAATTTATTTATTGGTCCTTAAAGTAGCAGGTGTCCATAATCGAGAAATGCATCAATGTTGTTTGTAGAGGGTACACTAGAAAAGACATGGAAAACGCTAGAGAAACAGTGGGATGGCCAATCACGTCTACGTGACTCAACTGTCTACTCGAAGAAATTTGTAATAATTGTGTGTTCTCGATGATAAGTGGTAGATCTTTAACATATTTTTTTAAAGTAGATATATATATTTTAATAATATAAAACTTTAAAATAAAATAACTATAAATAAAATTTAAAAAATTATAAATAAAATAAATAATTAAAAAAAAAGTAAATTTCGAGGTGAGTTCCTACCCACTTCAACAAACTTGTGGCTCGTCACTGTCGATGACATTGCAGTATTTGGCTTTTATATACCTAACCTAACGCACAAAGCACGGTATCGTTTTATATTCATCAAAATATACGTCCCTAATAAATTTTGAAATAAATTATGGATGAACTAACAATGCTATTTCGTAGTTAAATAATTTTTTTTGGATAATTCTTTTCATTATTCAAGAAAGCAGAAAACTTGCTACATAAATACTGTTTGCTATATAAACAACAATTTAACACTACTGAACAACCAACAAAACAGCAAAGAACAAAAGAAACAACACCCCAGCTCAAGAGATATCCCAACTTACATAGAGAGTAGCATTCCTCGAGTCAGCTCTGCTAATAGTCCAGCCACACAATCGAATCTGGATGGCTTCTCGAACACCTTCCAACACCTCATCCACCAATCTAGCTTTACCCCTAAACAACATGTTATTTCTTTCCTTCCAAATAACATACACATGACCAACTAAAGCAAGTTTCATCACTTTCACAATGAGACTTACCTTTGAAGCAATGAATATCCCATGCCAATTCCCTATCCCAAAAGCTAACTCATAAAGTAAGCATAGTACCCCATAATTCTTTCGCAAAACCACACTCAAAGAACAAATGATCCCTAGTCTCATCCTCAATACCACAAATCATACATTTGACATTATCAATATTCAATCCCATTCACATAAGCCTAACCCGAGTAGGAAGTCTATCCAAGATAGACATCCACAAAATAATGCTTTGCTTTGGGATACACCTAAGAAACCAAACCAACGAATGCCAAGAGACCTTAGGAGCCTTAATGCGCAAATCCTCCCAAATTTGTCTTGTGCTAAGATCTCTAACCGAGCCAGTAAATAACTGAGAAACAGTAGGCCTTATTTTCAATATACTCTTAAAACTGCAACTGGCATTTATGGGGTACTCATATGTCAAAACTCAGAAATGACCATCCAACTCAGTTGGTAGAGCATAAGGTTCTTAACCTTGAGGTCATGGGATCGTGTCCCACGGAGGGCATTTCATAATTCGAAGGTATCTTACGGAAGCTGCTCCCAACCTGGTGTTGGGGGTAGCCTACTATCTTACCTCCCCTTACCCCATACATATGGGAAAAAAGGACAGTTATTTTTTTTTCATATGTCAAAACTCAAAATTCTTAATCACATAAGAATGAATCGAGGCCATAATTTTTTGATCAAATGCACAAAGCATACTTTGTTCCAACCACCTATATCTATTACACCCAGACCCCTTCAGATTTTAGTAAACATATTTGTCTCCAGTTAAATAATTTTTATCTTTAAATGTTTTATATTTGAGTATGATATTTACAAACGTTCATTTGAAATGATAAAAAAAAATTAATAAATAAAACTTTATAATTATACTTTAAACTGATTAAAAAATAAAGTATAGACACTGACATTTTTGAACCATGAAAAGACTAGCTAGCTATTATTCCAATGAAAACGAAAGGTACCAAACAGCTATTATTATATATTATTTTATGAAAATTAAAAGACTTGCTATTATTTTATGTTTATTTTACCTTAACTTTACGTTTATATATTATTAAACTATATGAATTGTTATTTTGTTTTTGTCTGATCGATTTTAATTATTAATTTATAAATTAAGTGTGTTTGGTTTCTTATTATCAGTTCGTTTAATTTAAGTTTCTCTGATATTAACTCTCATTAATCTCTTAACAGAATTATTAAATGATAATTAAAAAATTATAAAAAAATCATGTGTCTCCTCCTCCTCCTCCTACGTTACCGCCGGCTCCTTTTTTGAATCGTTTTCCCCACTTCCTCCTCCTCCGTTCACTCTCTCTCCTTTATTGAATTGTTTTCCCCACTTGCACGGTTGTGCGTCTTTTCTGTCTCCATCTCTATCACCGATCACCTCTATTTAACATTGGATTTTCACTTTTAGGAATACTAAACTCACTTATCAGTCCCTTAATAGCTTCTTGATGAAAAAGAAGAGTTATTAACATGTGGAATAGCTATCATCCATGTGTCTTCTTCCTCCTCTTCCTTATTAGAAAGGAAACACGGTCAAAAAATTTGACCAGTTTCTTAATTTGCATCTTTCAGCTGAGGGCTGCTTAGGTGAGGAGGACCGACGATGAAATGTGGGTGCTTGAGTAAGGGGCATGAAGGCCTCTCCTTTCTTCATTTTTCCACTAAAGATAATGTTCATAAGGCCACAACTTTCTTTCCATTTCTTATTCTCTGCTCTATTTTTCCTTTCTCTCATTAGCTCCCCTTTTATTATTTGCAGGTTTTTATTGTTGCAGAAGACGACTATTGGATAGAGCAAAATCGTAACTAATAATTTAAGAAAATAAAAATGAAGATAAAAGAGACATAAAATTTACGTGGAAAACCCTTAAATAATATAGGGTAAAAACCACGGGAAACGGTAGAAGAATTTCACTATGAGAAAATAGGAATTACAACTTCTCTCGATCTACCAAGGAGAAAACAATGATAATTCTCTCTTGATAAAAAGGAGAAAACAACTCTCAAGAAACTCTCTAAATTCTCTCTAGTATTGGAAGAAAGCTAGAATGTTTTGGGATGGTTTTGAAGCTAAATGAGCTAGGGTATTTATAGTTGAAGCTTAAGGACTAATTTGTCAATACCCTAAATTTTAGTGACTAAAAATGATTTTACCATTTTCCAAAAAATTCAACAAATGCTAGCTAATTTTTGGTGCCATTAATTGTGCACTTTCGGTGGCATGTGCACCACCTAGCTTGACTTTTCAATAATCTCCCACTTGAAGATTTGATTGGAACAGTCATATCTTCACACCATTCTTTCTACCTTGTTTCTTCATGTTGCTTACGTCTCTGACAGGCCACAAGAGGATCGACACCAAGTAAATTTATCAGCGTTGATCACATTCGTCATGAAATATGCTATGTTGTCTTTGGTATGGATCTTCTGCATTTCTACTGTCCCTTCTTCTACCTTTTCAAGAATGAAATGATACTGAACTCGTATGTGCTTTGTCCTTGAATGAAATGTTGGATTCCTTGCTAAATGCAAGGCGCTTTGACTGTTACAAAACAGAGAGACATACTCTTGATTGTGCCCAAGCTCCTCCAAAAGCATCTTCAACCAAATTGCTTCTTTACTGGCTTGTGTAGCTACTACATATTCTGCCTCTATTGTGGATGTAGCCACAACTGACTGCAATTTTGAAACCCAGCTTACAGCTCCACCAACAACTTTGAACACATATCATGTAGTATATTTTCTTTTATCCAAATCCCCTGTATAGTCAGAATCTACATACCCATTGATTAGTAAGTTTGATCATCCGTAACATAATACAACATTTAAGGTCCCACTGCTTGTGCAATGTCTGGTCTTGTGCATATCATAGCAAACATTAAACTTCCCACTGCTGATGCATACGGTACTCGAGACATCTCCATCCTCTCTTCTTCACTGCTAGCACTCATACTGGAGGATAATTTGAAGTTAATAGGAAGAGGAGTAGAAATTGGCTTACAATCTTGCATGCTAAATCGTGACAAGATCTTCTTCAAGTAATTCTTTTGTAAAAGCCAAATCTTCCTATTACTTCTGTCTCGGTGAATTTGCATCCCTAGAATCTTGTTTGCTGATCCCAAGTCCTTCATTTCAAATTCCCTAGCCAATTGTGCCTTTAATTCTTTAATATGATCTTTGTGGAATCAAATATCTTATACCAACACCTCGGCGCCTGCTTTAGACCGTACAGAGATTTGTTCAACCTGCAAACCAAGTTCTTCTTTTCTTTTTCTTCAAAACCTTCAGGCTGGAGCATGTAAATCTTTTATTCAAGATTTCCATGAAGAAAAGTTGTTTTAACATCTAGCTGCTCTAGATGTAAGTTCAATGTAGCACACATTGCCAAGACTACTCGAACTGTTGTTAGTCGAACCACAGGAGAAAAAATTTCAATGAAATCAATACATTCTTTTTGAACATATCCTTTGACCACCAGTCTTGCACGATACCTCTCCACTTGATCGTCACCATTTTGCTTGATTTTGAAGACCCATTTATTACCAATTGGCTTCCTTCCTTGTGGTAGTGGCACAAGGTCCCATGTATTTATTTTTATGAAGGGCTTCGATTTCTTCTTGCATCGCCATTATCCACAGTGAAGTATCTGAGTTGTTTATTGCCTCCTGGTATGTTGATGACTCACCGTCCTCTGTTAAAAGGCAGTATGCAACATTTCCTTCTATAACATAATCTGAGTGCCAATTGGACGTCTTCTCACACGATCTGATTGATGAGTTGTTGGAGCTTCAGAACTCTCTGGTTCTTGTTCATCATGTGCTGATTCTACTTCAGAAGAATCTCCTTGTTCAACCTCTTTTTCCACATGTATCTGTGTAGTCTCTGACTTTTCAGCGCTATCACCATCTTCTTTTCTTTGTAGCTTATCTTCTACAAAGATAACATCCCTGCTGATGACTACTTTGTGGGCAGTGGGATCCCACAAGCGATACCCCTTGACTCCATCAGCATACCCCAAGAATTTGCATTTCCTGAATTTGGATCCAGCTTTGAGAT